ACACACAGACTGTGAGTAATCGGTTGGGTTTGTATCCAATCGAGAAGGAAGAATTTTACTTAAAATATGCTTCATAACTATTTCGGACTGACCAAAATTTCTTGAGAAAAACAACAGTGATCGTTAATCGTGCGCAAACTCGTAACCTTTGTATTTACTATATGGATGGATTAGGACGTCGTTAGTGATGTTGGAAATCGTTTAACCAAAGAAGTCGTCAAAATATCCCTTCGGAATTATGTAGCCACAGTAACTATGGTGAAAATAATGTCCAACGAGAAAGCTACGCTCGATTTAAAATCCCGGCTAAGCATGGGTGGCGATTTACTGGGGTACTCATGTCTAATGGAGCAAGCCATACCATCTAAATGGTTATAACTCAGATATCAGTAGTGAGGCGGCATAGTTCGCAACTTGATCACGTCGAATTCCAACGTTGTTGTCATGATTTTCAATAAAAGGCTGTAGAAATAACCATAACACTTACGATGACACAGGTTACTGGGGAGAGTTTCTGTGTGTATACAGACCGGCACCCTATCGCACTGTATTCTGCTCACTTAAATCGTCCTGCGTTTTGCATAAACTCGGAAGTGTTCAACCAGTCGCATTCCGCTTCATTCGACCGCTTTCCTTTAAGGTGTCCGCCTAGACATCCGGAAATACAACCTATGTAAAAGTCCTTGTTGCCCATTTGAACAGAATTTATCTCACAACATGAATAAGAACACGGTCTCTCGGAGCTAATTCATGACGGCGTGTTCTGCACATGGCTTTAGTAGATGAACCAGAATATCCACAGCTCTACCTTTTTGTTGGATCAGGGGACATTCGGAGTATCTCGTGACTGCCACGACAGTAATTAAGTTGGTTCATTACCGTCCAAATTTGCTCTGTGCGGACTATCGAGGGACTTATCCGATTCGCCTGCAAAAGTATCTACCCATTGGATGAGGTGTGCGTTTACATTACTGACGGCAGCATACAATGTTGCTGTTCAGCGCTGGTTGCAGCCATTTTGGATACAATGGTTGACGGCATCCGATGAGGGATCAACCTGTTACTGTGGCCTCCATAGGGCAACTACAGGACGTCAGTGCCCACAGGGGTTGGCTTGCGCAGAGCCACCCACAGCTTCATCCACACACCCCATATCCATTACAAATCTGAAGGAATAAGATGGAGAGGTACGTGGATCGGAGCCACGTTTCATCAACAGAGCCGGCCTACAGTTTTTCAGCAGCTACTACAGTAGCGTTCCTGGGTGACTAATTTTGAATCATGCGTACCGGACGTACACAAATGGGTGGCTGGGCCGTAGTCTGCTCCGCACAGGATGGAACCACTCTTAGAGCTTTTCACGGCTATGAAGTCCGTGCATCTCGACACCTCCAGCAATGATTAACTGTCTCCTGAAGCCGGTAATCAAGGTGTATGGTGTTGGAAGGGTAGGCATCTTATCAACATTCACATCAAAGACAATCACACCGGGGATATCAGTCAACATGCAACCCCTGAAATGCAAGAAACCCAACACGCGAACAGGCTTACAGACCAACGGCAACGATGATGTTGAACACGTATCGCATCAACCACATTATTGGCCTGGGTCAGTAAATCGTATGAATGTGAACCTACCAATCGCTGCGCTGATTATGCATAGATAATCAGTTAACCTGTCGTCTTTTGGATTCTGGCCTCACGCGGCCACGCTGGTGGCTTACCAAGCCGCTCTGGCTCAAGCGCTGGCGACCGCATGTTCTGCAGCACCAGGCGCTCGACATCGATCGGCTAGATTTCATCGGCGTCTGTCGTTTCCAAAATCGACGTTTCTTTTCCCCATGAAGTAGTAAATTATCATTCACCTGCCCAACCGCCCCTTTGGTATGTCGTCATCATTAGCGCCGATCCATTGCCATCTCCTCCCAACACCTGAAATCAACATTAGTTCGTGATATACTCAGTTGCTCATTCCCAGGTAACGTAACTCCGGTTTTCCTACCTTTCGCTTCGGTACACGTAGTTGGTCATAAAGCAACAGTTTTGGCATCCGGGCCGAATTCATACGACGAACATGCCCGAGCCATCTGGTGCCTCAGCAAAAGTACACAGTCCACTGCATACCTACTACTGCGACGCAGCACCTCCGGGTCATTAACTCGGTCACCTCAGCCGATGCGCAAAATACGACGCAGGCACTCTTGCTGAACTCACTCTAAATATCGGATGACCTTCGGATTAGACGTCCAGGTTACCCTAGTGTATAGAAGAACAAACAGTATCATCGACCTGTCATTATCAGCTTTATGCTGATGATCGAATTGTGGATGTACCACAACTGATTCTCCAGCTTTCTAAATGCGGTAGCCACCTTCGATACACTGATGCATAGCTCGTTCAGCAAATGCCTGTCACTGTGCAGACATTCAGCTAAACTTACAAACTTACTAGGACAAGCAAACTTAATCAACACAAGACACAACACCTCGCAGTTCATAGCGTCAAATGCTTTGGTGATCTCTACAAATCGCGAGTACAATGGCTGGTATCGCTCTCGGTATTCTGTAACTGACGGCCTGAACGGAATCCACATTGCTCTTATACCACGTTCAGTTCAACGACCTGAGTGACGAGGATGTTGAGCAAGATTCGAACAGTATCCTTCGCAAGACAGTGTAGCACGTTAATACGTTAGTACTTCGTGGCACATTGCTTGTTTTATTTTGCCCTTGCATAGTGGAAGTACGTGGGTATACTTCAAGTCAGCTGGTACGTCTTCCTCAAACTGCCCGCGTGGCACCAAGTGGTGCAACGCATGTACTAACGTGGGTCTGCCGTGTTGCAACACTTCTGGCGTAATACCCTCGGAATCGGCCCACTTGCCGTTTCGTAGCTGAGCAAGTGCTCTACGCGTCTCATCTAGTGTCATTGTGTCGACAAGATATATCTATATTTCGTGTTGTTCTAGATACAGTCGAAGTCCTTTCGCCAGATCTGCCTTATTTCTGCAGTCTGTTTATAGACAGCGCCTAAAGTGCAATCCACCAGAGTCCTCCTTAACTACAACGTGGGTCCATACACTACCTTCAATTAATCAAATAAATCTTTGTCTTTGCATGGTTCAAGGTACCATCTCATTTGCTTCGCCGTCTCCGTCCACCATGCATTTTTAACGCCACGGAGCTCTCTAGCCATTTGCCATTGAAGTTTACGAAACTTATTCTCCTCCTCTGCATTTGCAAAATTATACACGTGTGCATCGAATGCTGCGTCCTTCGACACCAATACGCTAGTGGTCGCACTGTTTTCATCAATCCAATCGGGCGGCTTACAGTTCGCGCACCGAATAGCTTCCTGGACAACAGCCATCAATGGGTCTCATATATGGTGCCACAGATCGCTGCCTGTAACGATAGATTCGACATCGCCAAGACGGGTAGCCGTCGCCTTCTCAAGCTTACTCTGCTTCTCAATAGTACCTAGGGACGGTACACTTACTTTGCGTCGTTTACCCACGGCAAGCCAGCACTGCATAGATTTACGAAAAAATATATGTACAATTTAGTCAGCACCAACTTGTGGTCAGTGCCATACTTAGCTCCCTGCACTACACATGTCAAGCGCGTCGCGTTTGCGTACGACAGTCGAGAGTTTGAGGGTGACCGCTCCATGGGTGCTTCCAAGTATTTCTATCACTCGCACCCACTGCGAACCGGATGTTCATGATCGTCAGACCATTAGTTGTACAGTGAGAGCGACCAGTCACCATCCTATTGACCGTGCCAATAGCAGATGAACCGATTATGTCTGTCCACACCGCAGCATCACGCCCAAAGCGCGCATTGGAATCACCCAGTAGGAAGATTCGACGGCTGCTCGGCACAGACCGTATCACAGAGGACAACTGAGGGTAAAACTGATCCACTGAGTCATCAGGACAGTACACGGCAGGATCATAAATGCCGATAAAAGTGGGAAATCTACACCTTCCAAGTCCGAGGCGCAAAGACATCAGTCGTGGACTGATGTCAGTGAACTCTCCCACCAATTGGCTATTTAGCCAGTCGAATGACCCAACTCCGACCTCATGTTTATGTGATGCTGAGATGGCGTTTCCCACCGAGTACTACCTGTAACCCCCGCCAGCTTTGCGTGAGTTCCATCACAATTAGTGCAGTGCTTCGCTCGGGTCGCTTACCCGTGTTCCGGTCAAGGAGTGTCCGCACGTTCCAGCTTCCCATATTGAACACTTTTAGAGGAAGCATACGTTTGTTTTGGCAGGGAAACGCACGAGCGGTGCTCTCTGTTGAAGGAAGTGGTGAGTTAGACGAAGGGAGATGGGGAGATTATGTGCAACAGGAGAAGAAAGAAGCGAGGCGTCAGTAGCAGCATGTGTTCGCTGTATGCAGCAGATAAGGCAACCCTTATGCTAAAGTTACAGCATGACGGCCGATGCGGCATAAAATGATTGTTATTGGTATGATTCAGGGTTGGGTGTTTGATCAGAATGCTGCCAGGACATCCACAATTGACAGGAGAACGACTCGGGTTCTCAGCAAAAGCATTTTAAAAATGTGTTTCCGTTAGGTAACTGGCCTTGAGCCCTGCGTCAGTGAACCGACTCACGTGGAATTATGTGTCCTGGCTCTTAGTTAGAAGAAGAGTGTAACCCAACTCCCACTCAGCGGTCGCTCCAAGCAGGCGTTCAGAACGGAACAACATTAGTTACGGCGTGTTGACCATCTGTCAGCACCTCGTCACACAAACCTAAGTGCGCTATGAGTACCATACTCACCTTCTTGTTACCCTATTTCGGTGTGTGGTAAACGAGATTATCGCACGTGCGCACGTCACAATGATACGATAGTCATTCTTGTTAATAGAGCGTGTCATTTTATGCCGCGCTCAAATCTTAGACGATGCACCTGAGGCGGGCGACTGCAAACTGATAGTGGAGAACAAATCACCCGGTTTACTTACTCCTCGAATGTTGTGGCGACAACTGTAGCTGCCCTGAAGCCCCTTACGTTGCGGTATCAGAGGGCAGCTGTGATCGCATCTCACCACGAGCTAATTGCCCTAATAAGCAATCCTACCGGCGCCACGCTGGATTACTCTGATCCCCACACGCGTCAAGACACGTGCTCAAGTACCCCTCCGAAAGAACGCGGTGGTGTGGACGCGCGGACGAACATGGTGACTGAACGAGCGAACGGAAATTATGCGCTTGCGCTGACACAACCCAAAATGGCATTGAGCCAACCGGGAATGGTCAGAAGGTAAGTGGCTTCTTTTGCACCAACTCAGGTAACAAAGACATTGAACAGAAGGTAATACTTGTTAAAGCGCAACGTGAACAAATATCATGGACTGCAGAAGCGAACAGTTGAAGAAGTTGGGGTGGAAAGCGCTTGTTCATTGTGTTCCTAAACCCATCTGGCGGATGATGAAGTGCATGCTTTCTTGAACATTTACAACTGACCATACTGGGAGGCGACTCGAGCACAACAGTCCCCCACCATCTTACTCGCAAATGTTCGGGTGTCATGTGAAGCCGTCGGGTAGATGGATGCAAACGAAATTGCGGTGCTTTGTATGGATTCACCCGGAGTTAAAGGTTGCCTTTCTTCTTTTGCACAAATTTACACAACTGCACCGAGTCTGTCTAAAAGTAACTATACTATACTCTGAATACCGATTTCTTTGTTGCTTGTCTTCAGGGCCATGCCATACTATGCACATGCTTATAGTCTCGTTGCACATAAGTCACACACACATGCCCGTATAGCCACAATTTGCAATTCAGGCTCTTAAAGTATAACAGATAAGGTGACAGTCAAAAGATTAAACGAGTGATGAGCCAGACTGAGCACTCAAAGAGGATACTGCTTGGATAAATCCGGAGATTAAGCCCTAAGACCGAATTTTTGGACGCTTCTTCGACGGCGCTTAAATTAGAGTTTACGATGTGTGGCTTTGCAGCGGTCACTCGCGGTGCTGCGATGTAAAAGTGCAGGACGCACTCGAATCGACAGTCATCTTGGTTACCATAAAACGGGAATGCAACACTACTGCAGTATGGGCTGTAACTTTATGGTAGGCTAGATGTTTCCTCTGTGGCAACTGCAGTGCCCCCCGCCCCACCCACAATTGCTTCCACTCTGTGTGGAATGAAAACAAATGCGATTCATCTACTGCTCAAGAGGCGGATAGCCCAAATACACTTTATAAGTCTGTGCTGGTGAACTACCCTACGTCAGTATGCTCAGATCCCTTGAGATGACCCACCATTGGAACGCATAGCAGTCATCCCAAGGGTGAGGAGAAGTGTACATTGCCATGCCAATCGGCTGATTTGTTATTCCAACATTATGGAATCGACGTTGCACTAGCGTCGGAAGTGCTCAGTACTAGTTACGCCTTATACCACCCGGCGGGACAGAAGCAACCGGGTAACCGTTTACAGGGACGTTACTTGGAAATGGTATCCACAACCTGGATATTATTGTACTAAGTTGTGAGTCTCCCGAGAATAATTATGCACATTATATGAGGTAAAGCACTTAGACAGCATGGTAATTTGTTGGATGCTTTTGTGTTGTTACTTTCCACCGTTGTGCTTAAGTACAAATCTATATGTGTCCGCAGTATTCCCTTTCCGGCCGCATGGATGCAGGAGTACACACACCAACCGGGTCGAACTTGGATGTGTCGCAACTCCGCAGGGCCAACCATGAATTGACATTAAAGGTAGCACAGTTGCAACTCGATTTGGATGACCGTGAACGGCAGCTTCGCGCGGTCGAACGGATGCACACTACTGTTGGGGTAAGTTGAGGTCATCACCCATATCTGATCTGATATGACTCTGTTAATTGACCCGTGCATGACATCATCACTATTTACTCTGAGGCGCACACCCACAAAAGACTCCGCGGGGTTGGATGACGAGAGTGCCAACATTATATTGTCCTTCAACCTGGCTTCTGACCAAGTTGGAATATCACTTCAAGTCAGGCGCGAATCACTTCTGCTGGGTTGCTTCGAAGTGGAGCATCCGTCTGTCTTTTAGGGGATTACTCTGATATCCGTCGGTTTTATTTGTGAAGCAGCTTTGGTCCAGATGTCACAGTAACCAGATCTTTCAACTGGCAAAATGTTTTGACCGAGACGGCCTCTGGTTTCAAGAAAAAACCAGGCGTCGCATACTAATTAGTCTACTTCTTACTACCGATTCTAGTAAGGCAGAAGGATATGGCTGATCAAGTATTAAACGAGCTGTGACAGGTCACTATTAAGGCTAGATGGCCTCAAGGCGGTGAAGGCATTGAGACCATGGTGGTATACACACTCTTAGCTGTTTAAAAAAGTACTTTGCTTTTCCTTTGCGTACTTTCTAACATCTTTAGCGTAGTATAACAATGGAGGTCAGTAGGTGTGGGTCTAATGACACTTCAATAGTTTTCCACGCGTACCGTGATTTGTATCCGACACTATCAACGACAGCATATTAATGAAAAGCGAGATTGCTCCACTAGATGAAGACACAAGTTGATCGAGTAAAGCAGCTAGTGAGTCCACCTTCGAAATGTATAAAAGTAAAGAACACCCGTTGGCTTCAAAATAACAAACGTGGAGGTATTTAGTACGCGTACTTACCCTACTTGTACAATAGTCCTCTCCTCAACATACCGGTTGGCGTATTTTTCAGTAGTACTCAGTGTAGCAAGATATCGTCCACCTCTGTTTGGCTCCTTGTCTATGAGGATGAGCGAGTGGTGAAATGTAACGGAACTTGTGCAACGCGCCAGTGCATTTGAGGTATCATGCCCTCTTTGGTATCTTGCCCACCACAGTCTTGCTCACAGCGGCATGCTCATCGGGGGAGGCCATAACACATTTCCGCACATTCATTTGACCCGTTTGCAAAGAGGCATTTGCGCTCAAACTTAACCTGACGCAACCTAAAAACTGATAAAGGCGAAGACGCACAGAAAAGAAGTCTTGTAGAGTTTTAAGCCACATTGTTATTTGCATACGTAAGCTCCCTCCAAGCCAAGAGGGCACTTCCTTTCTTGCATAAGAACCTAGGCACACATTTGATTTAGCCTAGCCCGTTCTTTTTGAACGAGCATGTGGAATGAACGGATTCCTTATAACTATTAATTACCGAGGTAACTTGTAACCTTCTCCCTCACCACCTGTTCACTTGTGGTGGACATTGTGACCCTGGTTAACGTTCGCCCTATTTGCTCCACCACCACCAACAGGTCAGGCAAGGAAACGAGTTCTCCGAAATGGCAGTGCTCAGGCGAGAACTGACAACCGCCAAAGCTGACAGAGAAGCAGAGGTGAGTTTGTGTCACCAAATTTATCAGGCTTCCAGTTGTTGACAAACACGTTTTTGTGTGTTGTCACAGCAAAACCTAGACATCATCTTGTTGCGGACCTGAGTGCATAAACCCCAAAGCATAGTGTATAGTGGAAGACACATCTGCAAAGGGATGGACGACAGACTTGGTACACCCGCGCTATCAGACTTTATGGTCCATCACAGTTGATCCTTAACCCTGGACTAGTCATCTAAAATCACGGACACGAGTTAACTGACTTGGATCTCAACCGAAGCGCCTCTACCTGAGGAGTACAAAAGGTGAGCAAACTGGTAGGGGTTGCATTGAAAATGTTACACACCCCGGCCAACCGATTCACGCCTGCTCCAAACTGCTGTCCCGGTTGGAAAATTGTCACAGTCCGATCGAGGTGCCAAATCCATTTCAACACTTGATGCTTACTATTTATATCTGCAATTGCTTCTAAAGGTGGCGTTCATTAACTCTGGAAAAACTATCGGCCGTGGCGTCATGCGCGTAGCTAATAATTCACCACTCCAATGATCCACTCACCTGTCTCTGTCTGTGCATTCCAGGGAATGACCGAATCTGTCACAGGCTACTATGTTGCAAATGAATGACACCAATTGTGTTCGATCCTTGGGCGCAGTTCTTATGACCCAAACGACCGCGTTTCATTGTAGCTTATACACTAGCTGAGCTTGCGTACAGCAGTTTAAACACACGGTAACATCAAATTCAATACCCAGCTGATAAGTGAAGTGCCCCGCTGATGTTTCAACTTTCTACCCGTAGAATTTTTCGGTATCCTGGAGCTGATTGACAGTGGCTGTCCGCCGAGTTCTGAGTTCCAAATGAAGATGCGCTCCCGGTTTAGTTTCTCCATCAAAGTATTTCAACCGGAGCGCGTGAAATTAAGCAACGTTTCCTTCCTTATGTACTTACCTATACACGTGGTTACATCACTGACCTCTATCATGCTCTAAAGTAACACTGTGTCCAACTAATTGCGACCAAATGCGCTGACCTGCAAGTAGCGGCTTGAAATTTGAGCACGCATCGATATAGGCCAGTGTGACTAATCCTGTTTGCCATGACAGTTGCTGTTAACTATCGCACCTCTGTGCTCCGTAGTATCCCAGGAATACAATGATTTTCAAATCGTACGAAATGCAAAGTATTATGTTGCGTACCTATTAATCAAGTAACCGTCATTGTTCGAAACATGCCACGCTATCCTAAGGAGCTATATGCTCCATTCAGAACCCGAGCACAACGAACTGGTGTGTACGATGTTCACTAACTTAGTATCACTTCCGTATCGGTAATATTCCAGTGAAAACCTATAGGTGACGTATGTTGATGGTAACCATCTATGAGTAAGGATATGTATGCGATTTAACACAGCTACACTTGCAGCCGACTGCTTCGCTTCGCTACATGAGGTTGACTGTTACTTTTTTGTTTTACTGCGCACGTGTTTTATGAGGTGGAAGGTTAAGTATTTCGTCGAAATAAGCAAGCTGCGCATTCCCAGTGCAGTGGTTTTTAGCATTTGGCTGTGCAATTTTGAGTAGGTGTGTTGCAGCCAGACCTAGCCACAACCCATCTGGAAGAGCGCTGGACGGTAGTTTGGTTCTGCTGAAACTCGTCAGCAATGCAAATCCACCAGCTCCTACTGGATCCGACACAATTGCCCTATTCTTCGGGTGGCGGGCTGTACTGACTGATTAACAGCTGCGATATAGTGTGGCTCATCCTTTAATGTCATGCAAGTAACTGTGGCGCAGAGTGGATGGTTGGTTTCCAGAGAAAGGACTTCCCTCACCAAACTACAAATTATGCGCTAACCCGAGTGATGTACTAAGCCTTATGAAGATTTAGATTTTCTTACCACTGCAACTGTAAAGTATGGGCTGCATGATGAGCTCGCGCTGCAACGCCGCATCCATCACACACCAATACATACACCCACACACCATAATCTGTGTAAACCGGTATGAATAAGATCGAGTCGCAGGAAGACAGGGCAGAAATCGACTTGAGGCTGCCTCACATTCCTTCACCACGCACACCATTGAAATGAAAATTTGGGAAAACATGCTTACCAATAATAACACACACGAGGCATTGGCTAGATGGTAACCTGTTCCGTTATGGAACCAGCCCTTGAGGTCGGTACTATCAAAAAACATTGTCCATCGCGCTTTCTGTACCAACGATTGGCAGTATCCGGGAAATGCTACTCGAGTCAGTGGCATCAAGCAAGTTGGCGTCCGACGGCTAGGCATCGAACTTAGCTGAACTTGGTATACAACTCAGAGATGATCGTCGAACACATGGGCACAAGCTCAAATGTATTCCAAACAAAAGATAGTACATTTCGTGAAACGCAGACGCGGCTCATGAATCAGGGCCAGCCAGGGACTCGTGATGATGACCGCTGCCCCTGAATTACGTGACGGATCTTTACAATTTATTATAGTTCTGCAGTGAAACGGATCTGGACCGACATTGCGTTATCCACAATGCTTGCCGTTTGCTTGATGAGTTTAGGTTGCGATCTGAGTAGTGAGTTTGTGAAAACCTCCTACAAGCGACCCTTATATCGAAATCCTATATATTGAAATAAATAGCAACTGTTTGGCACATGCAAATATGAAAGCTGTCAAGACATCAACGTGTCTTCTTTTCTCGTTGCGTTTAAGGCTGTAGCTAAAACTAGACAGTTGCATTATTAGAACACATCACCCAGCGAACCGACAGTTCATTTTAGATTATCGAAATTTATCAAAACCGTGCAAACTCGTCTAGGCTCTGGGTAGATGCTTTCATCCTCGAATTCGGTCTGTTCAATTCGATCGGCCCATCGGCACCATGTAAACATGTAGGAACGAAGCCTGCATCAATAATTTGGTCCTAATAGCAGGGCACCTGTCACATGTCTTCCAGGCTCGAGTACGCAAACATTGGAGGAAGCAACACGCTTCTGCGTTCTGACCCAATGGGTGGGCTAAGCCAAAAAGTAGTCAGTAGGGCGGATGGATCACATCACTATTCTCCTACATTGACAACCGACTTGGATCGACATTAATCCAAGGTGCGTGGCAACGCAGGGATAAGCCAGTGTGCATCCCGTATCACTTATAGTAGTGACAAATATTCACGTATGCTTGTGCAATCGTTCTTTACTGCGGACTCTCCTTTTGCTGTGCTAATTCACTGATGCCATTTTATCCTGGCAACTAGTCTGGATAAAATCATATTGCTGGGTGGAACGCAAGATTAATTGCTTCAGTGACTGGATGGGATGATGCAAAAGGTCAAATATTGTAGATTTCATTTGCGTCAGGAAAAAAGTGAATCTTTGATGTAAAAAATCAATTCTTGAGATTTGTTAGTAATCAGTGCGGAGAATGTCGAAGCAGCAGACTGACTCTGCACCAACCTATGTCGTAACACTCATCTCGTTCCTGAGAATGGTTGCTCAAAATAGGGCGATTTTGGCACCGTTTGCGTCACTCATTGAACTATGTTGGAAGACGTCAGTGAAAGTGAAATTCCTAGTTAGGTCATTACAACTGGAAACTAGAAATCTTCTTGTACATTGATGTCTCTAGGTACGGAATCGGAACGGCCATTTCACACCGAGCCTCTGACAAATCTGAAATAGCAGTGACGCACACTGCATGAGCTATCACCAGAATGAACAACATGCACCGGCTATCGTTTTCGTCTTCCGAACTTTTCGCTGGATGATGTTTCACACTCATAGCCGATCACAAGACGCTTCTTGCTAGTCGCTATCAACGTTGAAGGACTTTTAGCTTGGGATATGACATCAACCTGAATTATATATTAACGGATGCTGTTGGTTAGGCAGGCGCACTCTCCAAATGGATACGTGAACCAGATGACGTAGTAATTGCGGTAATTACATGATGCATAACACCGTGTATGCCTCACCGGCCAATATCATGGTGATCCAACAGCCAACCAAATATGACAAAGTGCTACCAGAAGTCCTACACATGGTTGGCCAAAGAAGTGGCCAGAGGAAGAACTTGCTCACTTTTTCGCGTGGCGCGGTACTTTGTCCGAAATCGACTATTTTCTGTTCTACGCTGACCGTATCATCATATCAGAAGTCCTGCGATAGCGCGTCTTAAGGTAATTTATCACGATCATTCATGAACTGCCAGAATGAAGGCACTGGATCGAGCTACGTCTCTTGGCTGAATCATCTCAGCGAGCTAGTGAATATTGGCCTTGTCTGTTCCAGATCATTACGTTCTCATAAGTCACCAATGCGAATGATACTACAGTCTTGGCCCATATCAAAACCACGCTAATCACGGATACATGTAGCTGCTGCCGGCCCAGTTGGTGGAGTTACAGTTTCTATGTATTTAATCCTATAGCAAGTGGCCATAAGTAATGGTGCTGTAGAATATTGATCAACCAGTGCAATACACGCATTAGATTGCATTTGCAGCTAACGCGGCCTACCAGAAACCATTATGTTAGATACCGGAGTGCAACTCACTTCCTAGCAATTTGTTAAATTGTGTACATGATACCGTATCACCCATAATCTAATGCAGTGGTTCTCAACCTCGGGGCAAAAGTAAATTTTCCGAGAATAAATATAAGTACGTCGATTGGGTCATCAATCTGTCACCAAACCAAATTACAAACTAATTTATCTTTATCGAAACGTCACTAACTAACCAACTAATCACTATTGATTGGCCATCAGTGACTAAGCATTAATGAGTGGTCAGTGAAATGGACAACTTTCGGTACCAAATTTTATTGTCTAAAATACAAATACAAGCCTGCAGAGCAACACAGCTAGCTGGCCGCTGTATCGGCCCGCTCGTCGATCGCTGTTATTTTAGTCAGGCAGTCGTTCACCGGGTCGAAGTACAGAGTTGAGTGAACATTAAGGTCAGCATAGGTCAGCCGACTAGGTAAAGAAGCGAGCTAATGTTGGCAAAGTAGAAGGGACAAAACAGGCGATTAGTGTTCAGGACGTATGGATACAGAGTGGTGGTGTGAAGCTGTTATCCAGGACGGACTTAGATGTGTTTGAAATAAACGATAAGCCACTGATATCTGTTTATATTTGATCAGAGATCGCATACCAAGGCAAAGAAACGAATGAAATTGGAGAACAGCGCACGGTGTATTAACCGAAACCACACTAATTATACCATGAATTGTTGGAACTAAGTAATATCAAACTGTTGTGACGCCCAGTACGCCTTCACCCCACGACCGCAAGAAGAAGTCCAAGATGAGCCGGGATGAACAGATTTTCTATTGCAGCACGGTACCAGTTATATAGCTTTACAAACAAGGGCGAATCCAAGCTACTAAACGCATGCGATCCAACAGGCATGGAGAAAACACAAAATGGAACAAGCAAATGAGAATCGCGAAAATTACGAGCCAAGGAAGTGCGGCAAAGAAAATAGTGTCTGCGGAGTTAATCCCTGGGGGTAACCTTCTGGTGAGCGACCATTAAAAACGACGAGTAGCGTCCAATCAGTGTGGAGAAGTGATGCGTTTAAACAAATGACAGAACAGTTGGTAGTGAGAATGATACACACCAGGAAAATAAAAACAGGTATAATAAATATGTGTCGGCTGAATAATACATCCACATGAAAAAGCTAAGGAACGCTGAGCAAAAGAAACCAATCAGAATGTCCACAGAATGAGACGGCTGAAATTAGCTGTGAGCGATTGCGAATGAGGCTGAGGAAAGCAGCGTGTCCAAAATGTAGCAGAGAAGCAGGTAACTGCGCAAACAAAGAAATAGACAACTAACATAATTCATGAAACTGGGGGTTAAGTAGCCAGCTCCCTAACACAAACCGTCACATTAACTTACATCACCACTTAACTCAATAAAATGTTGCTCAAAATAGCCGTTTTCTTTATTTGAATAATAACGTTAACTATAATATTCGTGTTCCGTAAATTAGAGCAAAACTGCAGTAGTTAATTGGTGTTTTAGCTACAATGTTTTCGGGGATAATTTTTTATAGTGAACCCGCTTTGGGGGTACCAACCCAAATTCTTGATAACAACTGATCAGATGCGTAGGTCGAGCGACTCGTTGATACCACGAAACGAGCACTCTCGTGATTGTAGAGGGAAGAGACGCTGGAGGAAAGGCTAGCGAAATCTTTGCTTAACTATCGAGTTACTCTGAATCCAAGTGCGCCAGATGGAAAGTCACCCGCGGAAGTACTTCAGGGTCGAAGATTGGGAATTAGTTTGGGCCTACTAACTACTAAACCCCAGTTAATGCGCCATTAAAATCCTGCGATTGAAATCTGTTACAACAAGCTGGGAGGCGCACAACCCAGGAATCTTGAATTAGGAACCCCTGTGTTTGTCGCCTCCTAACAAAGGCACATGATCAAGTGGCTACCTGGAGTCGTCGTGAGGCACGTGATCAGCTGATGTAGGTGACCATGTCGAGACGCAGGTATAAATTCGCCATGCCAATTAAATAAGGCCGCGTTACATAAAAAACACCTTGCCATTTTGTACAAATGCACATGACTTTACCGAAATGCTGGACAATGGTGAGCCGAGTGCTTTTGCCAGATGACGGGCGCATCCTTTATGACTTCCAGGAAATGGATCACAAGTGAGACCAAAGATAAAGAGATTTGTTTACCAATTGTAAATGGTCCCCACTCGGTAGAGCTGTGTGAATACAACATAAACTTATTTTTCAGGTGGGGGAGGTGTTAGCTTCGCGATACGAATTCAAATATACTTACGTAAACGCCAATAACTTGTGCTCATTCACTGACATTTGCTTTACCCTCTCCTTATGTTAACCCCATTGGCTGCCTAGGGCCATTGCTTTTGGGTGCGGATCATAGTTTCGATCTGAAGCCATTAGCAGCGCCGTTCTGGCCCATATCGTCAACACGGGGCACCAAGTCGATCTAAAACGTGCCTTCAGGATAATTTACAGGGTTCCCCATCATCAATCAAGAGGTTTGCGCTTCCGTGCGCTCGCGACAGCTGAATCGATTTGCATTCGGTTGTTTCAACCTTCATTATGCTCGCGAAAGTAGTTGCTCCATGCCTTACAGCTTTCCTGGCCTGCTAGAACGAACGATACTGAGGTCGATTGTCACAGATCAAACTCGATAACATGCAATCTACTTGTCAGATCAATGGTCAACTTTTAGCCTCCCTCACTGATCCGTTAATTAACTATGTAACTTGACCCAATGAGTCTATTTCAGTTCATTATTTTACTCCTAAATATGATTGTAATGATCTGAAGAGAATCATCGAAAACAATTGTTCACCTATGGTCTCGTGTTCTTTTCACTTTCCTTTCATTGAGTCGGAAACGGCTTCAACCCACTAACGGTAATGGGCACACCAACCAGCAGAAGCAGGACTCAAGTTTCCTCCCATAGGGAAGTGACACTGTAATTGTAAGACCCAACGGAGCACTGAAAACGTACGATCAGACAAAGTCAAAACAGTCTAAACAACTAGAGAGGCAATCAAGCGCACACAAAGAAAAGAAAGTGGTAGGGTTGGCGTCAGAGTGTGACTGATTTTCATCCAGAAAATGTGACCGTAAGCGGTCAATTGGGTTAACGAAATGATGTGAGTGAGCACAACGAAAAGGAAGCCTATGGTTATGAGGGTCTACGTAATAATACTGGAATTATTTTCGCTCTTCTAACAGCATTGTTGTTTTCCTATGAGTGCAACTCTAAATCCTTTTCCTGTTTCTTCTTGTTTCCCTCTGGTTAGTGCTTGGTGGCATGCACGAGGTTTGACACGACAGTATCCCTTCAGAAATCGGAGTGGTACCTGAACATTCATGTCCTGGATTGTTCCGGAGCCGGATCTGATCCGATGCAGACGTCTACAAAGGACTAGGTTTATGTTCCATACTTGTCGCTACTTCTGCTCAGACGCACTGAAATCCGGAAATCGGGCTTGTAATATACATACTCAATGCTGTTCCAGTAGCAATTAAGCCGGTTTACCGAATGCGGCATATTCTTTTGAGAGGCTGTATCTGGGAAACCACATGATACAAAATAGTTCGAAGTGCCAGTGATCAACATCATACTGGATCATACATACACGGTGTCAGGGCTAATCTGCCATTGCTAGGTAGAGAGAACCGGCGATATACTTATCTTGATCTGTTGATACTCAGCCTATCGACTCGCAATTTAGACATGCTGTTGCGATCGACTAACTTGATCAATGAATTCCCCTAAGCGCCCACACTTCTTTCCATTTGGTCACTTCTGCACTATGGTTTCGGGTTTAAAGTCACGTAATCTTTGATCTGTGCTAATGATTGCTAATGTCTAGTGTGTTATGAAGTCTAACCTAGCCCCGGTCACTTCGCATTTTCGGTATCACCTCAACACCACCTACTCGTAATGGTAAACCAGATATGTCTTTTTACCCTTACTTGACGCCTAGCTGCAGAGCTTATGATACATCCGCCTTGGCTGCCTCTATTTTTATGTAAGTGTCAACGGTTTCTCACAGATTTACCTGGTCATCCACTGTAAACGGGTTGTTTCCAGACATCCTCCTCCCCGCAATACATCATGTCGTTTCTATCGATCTCAAACTCCAGCATACCTTAAGTAAGCGAAGTAAAACAGAGGATACTGCGACCGAGTTAGCTTGGCTTTGAGGGAGATTTTTACACCATCACAGATTCGTTACTAGGGATCCTGTTTATGTAGCATAGTCCGATCGTTTTGGTCTTTGGTGCATCCTCAAGAATATGCTGTCCATAGACTAGTGGACAGATACGACGTTTGCATTTGGTAATAGATACATTTCAGACGAGCCACTGTGGTTCCTCATCGCTGTCGCCAGATGCAGGCGCCACACAATTACACCCCTTTGGTTATCGTTGTGCACACAGCCACTCTACAGATTGGTAGAACGGCGGTTAAAATGCTAGTTATGAGGATCCTTTATAGAGAACATCCTCAACGCGTCCGATCTGACTTCACCTGAGACGTAAATGGCCATTTCTGTTTCGTGGTACGCGGGATCAGTTGGACGTGTGCCTAACAGGCATTGGAGCATTAACTGTGCCAGTCGAAGAACTACCACGGTTTTCGAAGGCTATTGGCTAAGCATTCAGATTGCCGCAACTAGCCCAAGCTCGGTGTCCAGTTAACTCCAGAAAGACATCGCACGATGACTTAACTCTCACGGAGTTCGAATGCACTATACTGTCCATTTAATAGGAATTCACTGCTGACCACTGTAGGGAGCCATGAATTCCCTCCATGCTATGTCATCTACCAGGCAGCAACGTGCGTGCTGTTCCGCAGTGGTCTGCATTATGTCTTGTGTCGTCGTACAGTAAGTAACGGGCGTCCACCGTAACCCAAGGGCCACAACCCATATCTTGTGTTATTTGAACGGTGACCTTAACTGTACACCGTGTCAATGGAAAGCACATAGCCTAATAAATCCAGAGGACCTAAGGTCCTTCCTGAGTATCCGGCTGCTGTTTCGCTCGGTCTCTTTTTCGGTGCACTTTGTGCAAGAATACTTTATCATATGTCGATGACATTATACTGCGTTTTGAGAAAAAATACAGTGATCCTTTTTCTCTCTCAGCTGTCCAGTTTAACTGCACAGTTGGACAAAACTACACAGGAGAAAGCTGAGGTTTGCGCTGAAGTACAGGAGTTGCGAAGTTTATTGGCAGAAAAGACCAAGCAGCTTCGCGCAGTGGAAGCGGAGAAAGTAAGTTGCTTTGGAATGAGGTGGATTGCTCTTAAGTTATTTAATGACGCCTAGTATTCCATTGAGAAGCCACAGTGCAGACCCCAGTCCGACGGTCAACAGCTGGCACCATGCGGTTTTAAACGAGTGTTAAATATGCGCTGTTATTGAGCTCCGGACTCCAATTCGGACTGAACTAAGTGGCATGTTAACTACGCTTGTGTTTTGCAAGTATTTCCTACTATAACCGAATTGACGAGGCATCGTTCAGTTTTAGTGGTCATGACTCATCTACTCACGTGTTTTTCGACTACCACCGCAGGACAAAGAAACGATCGATCGGGAGAATATGCAAAAGAAGTACGAAGCTGTGTTGACGCAGCTCAGCGAGAAAAGCGAAAAGCTACAGCGTTTGGAAGCTGATTGTGTGAGTCCAAGTCGTTTTTCTGCAAAAACCAAGCCGTTGGGTAGGATTTTTATGCCCTGTTGCCGATGCGTCGGGGGGAGTAAAATCCCAAACCATAAGTTTGTGTGTATATCTGTGCCTTCAACGCGAGACCGACCCGCTCTGCGGACGTCAGCACGGCCCGCGCACATTAGTCAAGCTGATTGCATTTATGGCAATTTGAGTGAGTGGAAGACGAATCTAATACTTAGAGATAGTTTCTCACCGTCCACTCTCAGTCAACAGGCTTTGGCTAGTTTGTAAAAGCATCAGACACCGGTGTTTCGACCTTCTGGGTCTGGTCAGTGGTGTAGCTTCCAGCAAACCTCTGCGGGTTCCGCACCCATGACTTCCGGATGCCAGCAGCTAGTGCCACTTCGCCACGGGTTACAGCCGCGGAACTGCATGATTGACAGTTGTCTGTGATATAGCCCGGCTCCTCTTCTACTGCCATGCCACTGACGTTACCAAGAAGGTCGAAACAACGGTGGCAGGTGTTTTTCCAGACTAGTCAAAGCCTGCAGACTGGGAGTAGAACGTGATGAATTATCTCTAAACATACCAAATGCCCACTACCCATTAGTAATATAAAATCTAATGCTGTTCTCACCGGCATAATCGTCAGTCCGAGCATCTCATGCTCTCACCCTAGCGCTGTCTTACCAGCTTCCAACGGACGCCAATCGTGTTGGTCTAATTTAATTTACGCATTCATCCATACTCCTCCTGACCACATTCGGCGTATTGAGAAGTGGGCCCCGCAGGTCGACAGGCTGTGAAACTGCGTCCAGTTTAACAAAGCAATGTGTGTCCCAACACGATATAGGATACGGCGGGAATGTCTGGCAAACTGAAACCAACCATTTCCCGGGTAATTAACCATTGACCGGACGTAGCAGAGGCGGAGTTGCAATGAAGTAACTCTTCCCGACTCTGTGGTTTTGAAAGTAATAGAGTGGGCATTCAGGTAAAAACATCCCGGCTGGAAAACTCCTGAGCTTATTCACCCGTTTCGCAACACATTTTGACAACTGTATAGCACACACAAGCCTGAATATTCTCTCACTTCAGTCAATAAGCTTTCAAACACTCGACATCCAGAATTCGATTGGATGGTCGACGTAAAAGTAAAGATATACTGTATGTCCTCATGTCATTAATTCTCGAACCCATTCGGATCAACATTTTCATGTTAAAGGGGTGCGGCGCGGGTTGCCTTTTCTCAGGGGAAACACTTAATTGATACGCATTTTGTTTGACAGTTCGTAACTGCAAGCTTTCATTCCCGTTGTCTTCATGTCTCAACGTTTGTAATAACGCACCATTTTAGCATATTTATTGGCTGTTAACAATTGCTGTGTCTGATATCTTACCACATTTTCCAAACAAAGCTTGACACCATCAACTACTTCTGGTTGAGTGTATCTAAGTAGTGCTTTACTAGGCGACTGCCATTGCGCCTGACCCATTCCGGTCTCTTCTATGCCCTGCTTGATCTTGATCGCCGCAATTTCTTATATTGCAATGCCAAGTTCAGTTGAAAAGAATCTTGTCCCTTCTCGCCCTGGTGTTCTATCACCCGATCAAGAAAGGCAGACCGAAAGCCGTATAATGTTAATCTAATTCAACATCACGCGCGTCTCTACGAAGTACAAATAAATTGCATTAGTTGTCAGACTATCCAATCGCAGCCGTGCGTTTAACCGCAAAGCACAAACCTGTTTACCTCGGACAGGAATTTATGTCTGCTCTGATGACGGGTAGCTCATAAATCAACGATGTGCAGTACGCAAGTTGCGTACCTGGTTGTGGGCAGACAGGCAAAAATCGCGGTTCGGACATTGGTTAGATTTGCCAGATAAGTTTACGCAAACGGTAAGCTTCCTTTCTTAAGTGCATCACTGTTTCAATGATGGAACGCGCGAATACACTGACGCCGATGAGGTTTATGCAACCTGTTACGTCAAGTCGCTGATGATCATCGCGTGCTTATTCTTCAATTATATTTGGGAGTGCGGGCTCAATGCAGCTGAGACAGCAAGAAGATACAACAGCATAACCTCGCGTATGCGGCCTGTAAACGGCCGGTATGTGTTAAAACTGGTGAAGTGGTTCGAAAACACTGGTAGTGTGTGCGACTCCCGAATTACGGGGCGGCCTCGCACCACAACGGATGAGAGTTCAGCTAGTGCTGTTATCCGCGAAATGACCAAAAGGGCGGATCTCCACATCCGTACAATCGCTCAAAAATGTGACACCACCCGTTACGCAGTTCAGCGGATTTTGTAAGAAAAAAAATTTCGTCGGTATGGTGCACCTCAAGTGCAAGTGTTGAACCCATGCGATCCGGAAAAACGGATTACATTTTGCATCAGGTTCTTGAGTCACGTGGATTTGCACTCCATTATTATCACCGACGAGGCAATATTCCAGTTGCACGGAATACAGAAGCAGCACGTTTGGGTGATATCAAATCCGCGATGCTGCCGAGCTTCCCGTATGCAACATAGTCCCAAGCTAATGGTTTGGGCTGGACTAACTGGTCAAGAGATCGTCGGAGCATTTTCTTTTCCAGTAATGTGACCGGTAGGTTACTGTGTTAATCTACTACTGCCATATCTTTCCTAGCATCGTCGTATAAAAAATGCTACAGACTTGCGTACTTCCACAGCTGCAGGCTGAGGGTGTTTCCAGCACCATTTGGTGGCAACATGATGGCGCACCTGCCCATTATGCACAAACAGTGCGGGATTATCTTAACGAGATGTTCGGTCACCGGTGGATCGGTCGCGAAGATCCAATGGAGTGGCCTGCCTGGTCACCAGATTTGAAGCCCTTAGATTTCTTCCTATGAGGTTATTTGGAACGAAGAGTATACAAGTCAACGCTTATTTCACTGTAAAAACTGAAGGACAGCATTGTCAACAAATGTCACGCCATCAACACGGAATGCTTGCATAAAGTTCTGGCCAATTGCCGCTGGCGATTTCTGCACTGCAAGCAGAACGCCGGCGCGCACGTTGACCATACTCTTCATTGACGTTTTATGTTGTTCACGTTAATATACGCATTGACCGTTATTACTGATTTCTAGACCATATTGTTGCAAGAGTAAATGGTGCCATAGGGGCGTCGGGCCAGAGTGAATTCAACGAACAAAGCTGATTTGATAGCGCTTAAACTGACCACTTCTATACAACTTGCTTCAGAATGCCAACATGTACCTCTCATGGCTATGCCTAAGGAATACGGGGAGGATGTGAACAAGACAGCAACCTGAGAATAGCCTACGCAGTTTAGTATTGTTATCGTGTTCATCGGCATAAAGACCCCGGCGTGGGAAGAGCGGTTCTAAACAACAACAGACCGGTCACAGAAAGGGGAAAGAAAGATGGCCGCTGGCATTATGACGCAGAATTCACCAAGCATTGGATTTTTCACCCACTAAAAGGGAACGTGAGCCGCGATTTGACCGTCGTGAGACAGGTTAGTTTTACCCTACTAGTGAGTACAATGACACAGTAAAGTACAAACTGGCCGTTTCTATGGTCATCCTTATTAGTACGAGAGGAACCGCAGGTTCAGACGGTTGGTATATGTGCAAAGCTACCATCTGACGGATTAGGACTGAACGCCTCTAAGTGAATCCCGTCCAGATTTGCAGCGGTGCATTCTGTGTCCATCCTGTGGGAAGGCAAACTCACGTATTCCTGCCAAAAGTTGGACAGGGCTATGTGCTCCGCCACGACTGGTAGGTCTGGTGTAATGTCAGGACGATATGACCAAAACCGTATTCCGGAAATTGGAGTATGTAGGTCGCCACGACATCCAAATATGGAGTGAGCGTGAAGGCGATAAATCGTTTGTAGACGACCTACTGTTCTGTCGAGGAGAGGTAAGTGCTCCAGCAGCTATCACACTGCGAGCCATTGAGTCCTGTCCCTGCATGGCGCAATGATTTGAGAGCCTGACTCTCATTCATTTTCCCTGTTCGAGCTACGTTGGACACTATGGGTGACCACCCACATACGTGTGCTGTGGTCCCACGAGTTCTCAATCTGGTTTTTCAAGCCAATGAGCTTCGCGCTTTGTCGAATACGCTAACCTCAGTATCCGCGAGAATTTCATATTGCACATCTAACAATCGATAGCAACCGTGCTTCAGACTGCTTGGAACGAAGGCTAACGTGCAAAATAATGACCATAGTGCATCAGTGCCGGGGCTACTTCGGTAGTAGTGTGACGTCGCTTAGACAGACCAAACTGTCCTGAGCAAGGAGTGTTCAACAGGTGCGTAGTGTTATGCCAGATAATTATTGACGACGCTCTTGTTGACTGAGATCTAGCTTTTTACAACCCACTATAGTAAAAGAAGCATTCCTTTCAATTAGGCCTTACACGTGTGAAGGGTAATCTTTTGAGAAAGGGTTCTTAAACAAATATGCCACCTAAGGACTACTCGCTGCCGTATAGCCTATTCTCCCGTCACTGTCTTGATTGTAATTGCAGGAAAAAAGTGGGGTTACGCTGCCATAATTGTTTCACCGTGACCGTGACGGGGCCGAAAATTGTCTCCACTGACACACATGAGCGATCATTCTAACATATCCAGGGATGAGGCGATATTCCAATGGCAAGTAATTGCGTAGCTGCATTTCTAGGCGATACCTAATCCCCGCGGATACTGAGATTCACGTATTCCACAAAGCGCTAAGTCCATTGGCTTGAAAAAGTTGATTGACAATTCGTGGGACCACAGCACACGCATGTGGGTTGTTACACATACTGCGTAACGGGTGGTGTCATATTTTTTGAACGATTGTATGGATATTGAGATCCACCCTTTTGGTCACTTCGCGGATAACAGCACTAGCCGAAGTCTCATCCGTTGTGGTGCGAGGCCGCCCCGTAATTCGGGAGTCGCACACACTACCAGTGTTTTCGAACCTCTTCGCCAGTTGTAACACATACCGACCGTTTACATGCCGCATTCGCGAGGTTATGCTGTTGTATCTTCTTGCTGTCTCAGCTGCATTGAGCCCACACTCTCAAATATAATTGAAGAATAAGCACGCGATGATCATCAGCGACTTGACGTAACAGGTTGCATAAACCTCATCGGCGTCAGTGTATTCGCGCGTTCCATCATTGAAACAGTGATGCACTTAAGAAAGGAAGCTTACCGTTTGCGTAAACTTATCTGGCAAATCTAACCAATGTCCGAACCGCGATTTTTGCCTGTCTGCCCACAATCAGGTGCGCAGCTTGCGTACTGCACATCGTTGACTTATGGGTTACCAGTCATCAGAGCAGACATAAATTCCTGCCCGAGGTAAACAGGTGCGTGCTTTGCGGGTGAACATACGGCTGCGATTGGATAGTCTGACAACTAATGCAATTTATGTGTACTTCGTAGAGAGCGCGTGGTGTTGAGTTGGATTAACATTATACGGCTTTCGGTCCAGTTTTTCCTTTCGTTAGTTGGTTGCCGACTTGGGTTGGAGCAGTTGAATTCCACACTTTGATCGACACAGTTTTATAGGTTGGCACGTTTCACTGTGTCACACACGAAATGAATTGACCGACGACGCAACAGAGACATCCTGCGTAACGAAAGGAACGGGCTCTGCGATGGAAAAGTCATTCTGTTGGACACGTTGTATGATTGTATTGCGACACATATTCTCAATCTGGACCACAATTCATTATGGGTTAAACCTTGGTCGAGTCGGCCACGGGGACTGTATTTGATGCAGATGAAAACTAGGTGTTGCAGGAGCGCAATGTTGCATTTTACATCTTGTTTCGCAATTAGTTTTACTCGTCTGGTAGGAATTGAAGGACTGCGCTGCGAACTGTCTCCACATCCGAATAGACTGATCTTCACTCATAAATGAACGGTGGCCCTGATCTAGGTTGCATGTCACACTCCATTCACACAACGTAATCTTCAAAATGACGCAACCAGTTTTTAGTGATTGTGACAAATATTACCTGCCACGACTCGGTGCCTTATGATTTGTGTCTTCGACTGACATCCTAAAGCTCGAAGTTCGAGTAGCAGTCCTACTATTTCTGCTGATTCATGCATATGAGTGCGAAACTAACCATAGAGTACAGCGTTGCCAGCAGGCATGACCAGTGAATCACGTGTTCAGTTCCCACCAGCTTATCGGCATAGGCTGCGCCGGGATCCGGTACAAGACAATATCTTGACAGCTGATGTCTCCAGTATTTGCAGTTTCAAGACCCTTCGTGTAATTGTGATCATAAGAATTTTAGCTTCACTGATGTTATCACACTTGTCTGGCCTAATGCTAAATGAAGATCTACACTAGTAGTCCGACTCAGACGTCAGAAGATTGCGGTAGGAAGTGGTAGGCCCTCCCATCCTTCCAGGGAGCGCCAGCGGGGCGCATTCACTCAACTCAGTGAGTGGCTCGGAAGATCACGCCAGAACACATTAGTGACCTCCTTTAAGTTAACATACCGTCCAATAGGAGAGTTCCTTACCTAAGTACTTCAACTGCTGACTTCTCTCGTGGCCCAAAACCGCTGTTGGTAAGAGTTGGACCATTGGTTCCAACACATCACTGGGTTCTTGAAATACGCATTGCTGACGCGGGTCACGAAAGGATTGAAGGAGAGCCTTATGCTTCTCGGGTTTTCGATGGCTGCTTGATAGAACCAAGCTTTGAAATATATTAACAACTAATTAGTCACTCGCGCACTAACTCGACTAGGATTATTAAGTATGAAACTACTTCGGTTACGAAGTCAACCTGTTAGCTCCGTCGGTAAACTTATATGGAAGAGGCACGCTGTTTTACTTACTGCTACCACATTTTCCGTCGAGCCCTTTTGTCAAATTTGTCTAATGAGCAAAATAAACCAACTTTCAGTGGATATGGATTACCCCACTCACGTTATGAACCACGTTCCGCTTCCTCACCATTATTACTATGATTCATGCCTACATACTTTCTTTCGTGCAGCAGAAAACCCACGTGGAAGAGTTGAAGAGGCAGTTGTCCGAATTGGAAGACTTGAGACACCACACAACGTATCTGCAAAATACTATTAAGGAGCGGGAGAATCGTATCGAGACTGTTGAAAAGGAATCTGTGAGTATCTGAGTTTCTGCTTGTCGAGACGTGGTCTGCCCGTTTTGTTCCTTTTACCGTATAAATAACACTGTACTAATGATGTATTTCGTGAAGGAGACAAAAGATTAGGGAGGATGATCACTCAAGCGTAGGTAGACATTAAGAAGCTTAGACAATCACCGATCAGTCACTCCATGGCCAAACAGTGAGCTCCAACATCAAGTCATATTGAAACGGAGAAAAGACGGGGTGCTTATTGAGTGGGATCAGTTATTATCTTTGAGGATCCTTGATGGTTCTTTGTCCATACTATTAGCAACATCATGTCCTGCCGTGAATGCACAATCCGAGCAATTATTCTCTGTTTAGTTCAAACTGCGCGATGAGTTGAGTAACATCCGAAGGCAGCTGAACTCATCGGTCGCAGAATTGAAGAGTTTACAAGAAGAAGGTGCCTACAGAGAGGAGCGTTTTCGTCAGATGCAAGCCCAACAGGTGAGTAGGCAGAGAGCTTAACAAATCCACAAAATATCCGGCCTCTATCAATTCTCCCAGTATTAACATGGATGACAAGTAATTTTATTTCATCTATACACAGAACGAAGAGTTATCGCGGCTTCGTTCCATAAACCAAGAGCAAGTCTCACGTAACAGTCATCTAGAAATGAAGTTGGAAGAGAAAGAGCACGAACTGAAGACGAGAGCCAGTGAAATCGTGAGTATTAAATTTAGTAGCTATCCTGTTGTCCTCCCACTAGTTCCCTCTACTCATGAAAGCTAATACTGCCAACAGCATCAGTCCTTAATCCATTTGAAAGTACATCCCATTGTACTTCTTCTTAAGCGCTGCCAACTGGATGAAATCACCCGGCTTCAATCGTCGGTAGAAGATGTGAATAGCCGGTTGAGCGTTAGTCAGAAGAGAGCAGAGGAACGTGAAACCCGCTTGCGCAAGTTGGAGAGCGAAAATGTGAGTCACCATTCTATTAGCTCTTACAAATTTCCTTGCTATTTCGAATTAAACACACAAAATTCTCCACAAGGTCTCTAGCCCAGGTGAAGAGAAATCAAAAAGCAAACGAAATTGACCAAGAAGAAGGTGTTAGCCAAACGTCCCCAAAACGCTGTACAACTGCCCCAGATCTTCGCCAAATTTATAGGTCGCTTAATAGCCTTCGGGTTCCAAAAAACGAAGTTCAAATGGCAAAAGTAGCAACTTCCTTGCCAACCCTCCGTATGTTAGGGTTCACGTGAATGAATGGGTTCCAGAACCTTTGAAGTGAGTGCACAATCGAAGTTAATCGATTAACGGCTTTTCCCTGACGTTTCACCCTATCCCGGCTACAGTCCTTCTTCCGTTGCGAGTTCCTCATTTGTGTAGGTGAATTACGACCGCACTTAAGAGCACGATTTCAATTTGTGGATGTTGCCCTTACCTATGTGATCAACCCTGTAGTATCATACATGTTGCTGAAAGTGAAATGCATACTGAATTTTAATCAGTAGGCAATTAAGTAAAAACGGAGAAAATGGTTATGCAGACCACATCAGATCCACCACATCAGACCACATCGATCCTCGTTCCGTTGAACAAGGAGCAATGAATGTATACGGGTTAAGAAGCAATGCTTTATATAGTCCGCTGTGTGGTTTTGCAGAGTTCTTGAAATATAAAAGCAGTGCGTGATCTACATTTAATAGAGGGACTTATCGTTTCTTTTGCTGTAGTCCTGCGATCCGTGTAAGTTCACAGAACAAACATGTAACAGCAACTAAATCCAAAGTTAATTCCAGGAGTGGGTAGAGATGTTGGTCTAGGTAACAAAGTGTAGGGGAGTAGGTGAGTCATCCAAACGTCTTTTAAATGTGGCTAATGATGGTGCAGAAATGACCGATTCTGAAAGAGCATTCCACGGGTAACACACGCAGAAGGAAAAGAAAGTTCTGTGGTAATCCACGCTGCTGTACTGTTCTGCCAGTTTTGGTGAGTGACCTCTCAAGTTGGTATTACTGCTGAGTTGCAGTAAAGAGCGGCACGCATCGTGTGAATCCTGCAAAATTAAGTACACCATTAGCAAGTCCCCTCGTAAGCGGCGGTAACGTCCGCTAAACACCCCCAATCGTTCCAGCCTCTCCTCGTATGGAAGAAGGTGCATTCCAATAACGTACTTTGATGCTCGACGTTGAGGCTGCTCCAGAGCACTAAGGTCGTGTTTTAGCCATGGGTGCCAGGCTTGAATTCCGTTTTCGACATGAGGACGAACATACGCATTAAACATCTGCCGGAAGATAGAACGATCCAGGGTTTTCGCCACTCGTTAAGCATGATCAAGTCTACACATCTATCTAGCTAGCTTTCGCTTCAAATCTTTCGTCGTATCAACCAATGAAGCTTCTGTGTCCTCACCAACTGGTCAAGCTTTACAGGTTCCCGCTTGCGACACTGGTTGTGCAGCCCTGTATCTCGTGATTTGCAATCCGGTAATAGTTATTTCGCCCAACGGCTTCCGCCTCAGTTGCTGTCTACCGGCAATTGAGCGTTGCACAAAGCTGGACCATGACTCATCTGCGTTCACACACTGTCCTGGGGTAAAGTTCCACGATTCTACCAGCTGATAACCTGATAGGGAAATCTTTTTTAGGAAGTATTTGGTGTACAAACAGACTTAATTGGTCTTCGGGATGTAACCAGCAATTCATTGCACTAATTTTCCTTATAAGTATAGTGATACCCATATTCTTGTTGTACTGGACGATTTTTCGGGTTTCATATGTAAGGGTTTGCTATCCGTCTCAGGCCATAATTTCCAAACGCATAGTATGTATGGCCTCTATGTTAAGTGCATCCGTGCGCATAGATCTTTCACGTTGGCAGCTGCTTACTTATGTGAAAATTCCTTTTACAAAAGGGCAATATATTGCTCCATACATCAACTGATGGTGATTTAAGTTGATTGGTGGCATCCGTTTCAGGATTTGCTTTCATACGACAGCCACTGGACGCCTAGGCCTGCTGAGGGACCATGGGTGGCTTGCGCCGCACCACGCACAGCTCCATACACACACATCGAATCCGTTGTAAACCGGAAGGAATAATATCGAGAGGCATGTGAATGGGAGCCACGTTTCATCAAAGGTGGCGCACACTCCTTCAGTATGCACAGCAGCAGCATTCCTGTCTACCTAGTTTGGAAAGCGTGCGTAACAGACGTCTACAGGTCGGTGGCTGGACCGTATCCCAATCCACACTGGATGTAGTCACTCTTTGAGACTACAACAGTCACGATAACCGTGTGCCCCGTCCCCCTCAGCTACGGTTGACATCCTCCTGTAGTTAGTATAATAGAGGTAGAGGGTGTTAGGCAGGGAGACACCTCGTCAGCATTCATTCATGCGAAGCGAGGCATTGCATATCACACGAGAGGGATGGTTGATGTCAAGCACACGTCCGTTAGACAGTCAGTCGTGTTTAGCCAGACTGAAACGACAAAGCACATCATATGCATCGTCGGCAGTCTGGGCAACTGCACAATGGCAGTGCGAATCCTGTATAATCACCTGCACTCATATGATTGTCTGCACATTTGTGCTTTGAATTACCAGACTGGATAGGAAACATGTAACCAACAGTCAAGCGTAGTCCTAATGTGCGTAGTATGGGATTTCGGGTACACTAAAAGCGATATACGTTAAGTTATGGGAAATCGCATGCACAATAATCGGTAACCATAAGAGCCACTCTATTGGCAAAGTTGTACTTTTCCTGTGTTCCGCCTAGGTCACCAACCGTCGTACTTTAGGACACCTGTCCCGTGGCAAAATACAACTTGGTCACTCCGTCGCGACGCACAAGTCACCGAGTGGGGCTCCGTCGTATTTCTGCGCGATTGTGAGCCTTCGCATGGCTCAGTGTAGCTGAGTGCATCTCAAGCGTAACACTACGCTTGACTATGAGGGCTTCGCAGCTAGGCACGAGTAAGAGACCGTGGTGGCATGTGCGTAACGGACACTGAATGTGCGGCAGAGGGGGACAGAACTGAGCACATCAAAGTAAACCGAATAAGGTGAAGCTAGGTTAATGGTAATTCGGTGTAGCCCAACCACGATGAAGAAGCATGTTGCTTGCAACATCGACCTCAGCATGGCGTACTCGTATGGGGACATCGGCTACCGGATTAGTCTGTGAATGTTGCCCCCTGGGACAATTACAGGACGCTTACGCCTGCGCAGACTATGGGTGGTTGTCGCTGCATTGCAGCCCTCGATGACGCAGTTGTGCCAGTACAGATGACCTGGCCTCTGTTGTGCGATGGAACGTGTATTCCGTTCTGACTCAGATTCCTCCCTAATAATTTCCGATTGACCTGCACGGATCGCACATGCTTATTAGCAGATAATGAGTCAAGGCATTCTTCCTACGTGGTGCCCACTAAGGGCCACGTATCAGTCTGTGGTGCTCGGTCTCACATTGGGCCTGTTTGGCGTAACTCCATTGTGGCCTCGCTGACGACTGGCTAAACTTGCTGGGCTAAGGCACACTCGGCCACATGCAATACAGTTCCAGGTGAAAGTATCCGAAGAGCTGTAACCCGCCGGCGGCTGTCGCACCTTTTCGTTCCCTATGCATTAATTGGCTTTCTGGCACTTGAGCAGCGGTTCGCGTTAGGGGAGGTTAACATTAAACGTTAAACTACATAGCAGGTAGCAATTTCGCTAATAACCACAAAATTATTTCCATTTGCACTTATATAAAGAGATCTGTTTTATGTATACAATACTTTAATTTTAGTTTTTTGCGTGGCAGATTCATGGAAAGCTCCCCTCTCCTGGTTGTGCAATTGGAATCCGACAGCTCCGAAACATGAGTGACATAAGTCAGGTCAGGACAGGGACAGGCTGAGTCAGGCAGTCGAGCATTGTACAACAAGTCCATTCTTCGGATGTTTGATGCGTTATATCAGAGCCGCCAGAATTATTCCAGCTCAAACGGCATTAGGTGCACAGTCGACCTTGTCTCCGAGGATACATTGCTGTCGACCAGTCTTACATGCAAATAAGTTGTGATGACCGCAAGGACGGTGTACTTAAAAAGAGGTACAGATACTGTCGAATCAGTGCCTGATTAATGACTATGGAATGTAAGATTCAGCGGCAGTATGCCTGACATCGGTTAAGGCAGTAACTAAATTGATCTAACAGGCATCGTTGCCAATAATTCGGCAGACTGGCTGACTTCTTTGATGGATCTCAATCACGAATAATGCAGGAATAGTTGGGAATAACACTAGATAGTAAACATTTGGCTCCCTTAATCATACTATCTGGCTTATAATACATCCGAGCGGTTGGGAAGTGATTTCCCCATTGTATTACATGCTCTAGATGGTGGGCATCGATGTTTTGTCCAGTGTTGTGTCTAACCCAATAATCCAATAACAGTGGTGAGAGCATGAACGAGAAGGCACAGGATACAGGGTTTTCTCAGGAAAGCCACACTGTTTAGATAGCAGGGTGTGTAAATGTAAAAGCCAACAGAGCACTGAAAACTAATAAGGATCAAGGAAATAAAGCTCCAATCAGATACACAGAAATAATTGCATGTAATAGCATTCGTGTCCGACGGGAACCATGATCCACACCCGGGACCAAGGTAATCTAATGATGTGTTCCCAGGGATAAGATCGAACAGCTCCCCATTGGTCTCATCTTGTGTGCCAGAAGTCAAGCCACCGTGCAAAGAGTGTATTGATGAAGTGAGCACAAAACGGACCGAGGTGTGGAGCAAAACACATCAATACTGTTCAAATCATAGTTGTGTGCGCCCTCGATTTTATAGGTCTCCTAGAGTCAAGGTGTCTGTGCAGTGTGCAACGGGCGATAGGAGCAATTGTCTCTCTCTGATTTCAAAAAGGTGGTATTCGGAGACAAGTCACATAGTTGTTTCTGGAAAACTGTGCACTTTCCTTCCTG